TCCCTACCCTCGAGCAGATCGACACAGCCTTTTAATTCCAGTTCCAGTGCAACTCCCACAGCTAAGCACGTGCCGGGGATTCACCATCCTTCATCTATTCGTGACATTCCTCCTCTTCCGCCCAGCAGACCCACCCACCTTGCGATGAAATGCGTGATGCCGAACTCCGGCAGCGACTGCCAGGCTTGGATAAACCGCATCTTCGCCTCGATGAGACTCATCTGAGCAACGTTCTGGTGGGCTTCCAGGATGCGTGCCGTGATCTGCGGGCGGCGAGACACACCGGCTTTAGGCTCCGTCGCAGCGTCACGACCGTCACGCGAACGGGTGACAACTCGGGAGGTGTTTTTTGGGAGCCAGCGCGGTTACGGACAACGATGCAGATGATTTAGTTTCTACCCTGAGGTCTTATTTCAGCCACGACTGCTCAAAGCCTGCGACCATGGCTGGGAAACACGGAGCTGCTTTTGCTTCCTATCTCCAGACGTATACAAGGAAATATAGATCTGGAGGCAAAGAAAGAGCCGCTCGGGCTCGTTTGGTTTAAGACGCAGGATGTGAGCAAACGGCGGGGGAAAATTTTTGGGTTTCTAATTTCGCAGCATAAATCACTGGGGACCATTATAAAAACCAAACTGGGCCCAGGTTTCTCCGGGGGTGGGTTTGGGTTTTGTTAGTTTTTTCATTGCTCGTCTCTAAACCAAAGGGGTTCTAGACTAATTTTAAGTTTTATCTTACATTGATCTTAATTTGATTGTTGCTGTCACTTACCAAGTCTCTTACATAGCCTGGCTGTAGATGGCAAGGCGAAAAAAAAAAAAAAAGAAAAGGAGGCAGAAAGAAAAAAAAAGCAATCAGAAATATGGCAACAAAGCAAAGGAAAAGTGTAAATCAAACTGCAAACCAAAGTTCAAGCAAAAAAAAAAAAAAAACCAAACCAAACACATGCACAATTTCTTAAGCAGAAAAGCAGCCAAAGTGAACCTAAGGATGGAGAGGGGACAAGCGAGCGGAGATCTGCCCCTCGTGCCGGCCCTGCCCCAGCACTGGTGTGGTCCCAGCTGGCCAACGTTGGGCAGGGATGGGTTTGGCCCTGCTGCTGGATGAGGGGGAGGGTGAAGCTGCCGCCTCAGAGGAAGAATTTGGGTCCTGACACTCCTCCCTGTGCCTCTGCACAAAATCAAGCCCAGATGCTCGACGGAAGCTCTGCAGCTCACTACGGGTTGTTCCCTCAACAGCTCCTTTTATTTGGGATACGCAGGGAAATGATGGGAATGATGCTCAGGGTAACAAGCGACTTGTTTTGGGTTGTTTTTTGTTGTGTTTGTGTTTTTTTTTTTTTGTGGCACTCCCCAAACCCCAACCTACCAACCCTACGCTGCTGCAACAAACACCGCCCGAGCGGGTCTGGGGCTGGTGCGAGACCAAGTGCCTCTATAAATCCTCCAGCAAGGCCCACTGCCAATTCCCACTTCAGCACCCTTTGTGGGCTGCGTGACCTCCTCCTCCTCCTCCTCACCCCGCGCCGGGGTGCGGAGGGACCCTCGCGGTCGAATTCCTTGCATTCCCACAGCCTCCAGCCCTCGGTTCCTCCCAGCCATGCCGGCACGCGCTGCAAGCTCTGCCTCCAGCCATGAAGGAAAAGCCTAAATCCGCTGTTCAGCCGATGCCTATAGGGGATCCGGCGTTTGCGGCACGGCCGCCGGCTCCGCTCGGAGCAGGGTGAGGGCTGGATCGATGGAGGTCGAGGATACCTGCATGGTAAGCAAGTTCTGCGAGCTAATATTTTTCCAGGTGCCTCCATTCTACCCAGTTCAAGCCTAGAAGGTATTATATATGTTAAAATGGTATATTTATGCAGCCTCTCCTCCATCCAAGTGGATATAAAGGCTTATTCAGAAGAATAATAAGGGCTATATAAAATGTAACTCCACTGCCAGGAAATCATCGGGCTGTGCCAATAAAAAGCGATATTTTTCCTGCTTCTCTGACTCGCAGCCTTCTCCTGGGTTTGGAGAAATCCCACCTAGCCACAGCCAGCCTGAAGCACGCAGGCTGCGAAGCTACGGCTGAACGATTTAAGTCACCGAAAGGCCACGGAGCAACGTCCTAACTTATTTTTTCCCCCACTGGACTGACATATAACATCTTTCAGAAAGTCATGCGTTTATTTCCAGAGCAGAACGGTTCAGCCCTGTCATGCACGGACCGAATGCGGCGTGGAGCCGAAGCACAAGTCGCAGCAACTCAAACTGAAGCACCGTTTTCAAGGATCAGCGTTTGGAAGCAGTGGAAAAGCCAAGAGAGAAATATGCAAACAGCCCAGTCTGGATAAAAGCGCTGCAAAGCAAACTCCACTGATCCTGAGGATTTCTGCACGGACTTTTGTGCAAGGGAAGGGGTTTTAATCCCAGCACCGGGGACTGATTTTTGTCCCATCGCCGCTACGTCTGTGCGGGGGCAGCTGACCCATCGCTCGGTATCAGCAGAGGCAAAAACCCTTCCCCAAATGTCTTTCAAATAAACGTAAATAAATTTAAAATGTACTTAAAACAAAGGGTTCCCTGCTGCCGAGGCTGTGTACGTGCACCGTCGCATAATATACGGTGTAATTAAGGTGGTGGGTGCCATCCCCAGGTGCTGGATCCAAACCACGCGTTTCAGTTGGCATTTCGTTTTAGTAACCACGTGCATCCGCTCGAGTGACAACATCCAAACCACGTCGTGTTAAACACCGGGATGGGTGCGAGGTCAGCACGGACCACACCGCCACCGCCACCGCCGCGCCGGGCCAGCACCTACCTGCTTGTTCTTGTACTTTTTCAGGTAGCGAGGAGAAACCAGACACTCGGGATTAATGTCGGTGTTGATTTGTTCCGGGATTAGCTGCGGGTCTGGGTTCAAATGCTGCATTTTCAGGAAGGAGAGGATGTTCTGCACTTCCATGCCGTAGGAGCTGTCGGCCATCGTCTTGCCCTTGGAGGCCAGGCGGCAGGCGGCCATCCAGCTGGCGTACTGCGTCTCCTGCCCCCCGAAACAGAGACCCGTGCCCGTCAGAGCCATGGGGGTGCCACCCGCCCCCTTCCCTCCCATATAAAACTCTGGGGAGCCTTTATTTTCCTTCCAGCCCCAGGAGACTCAAGGACACACAGGGATGGGCAGAACCCAGCCAAGGTGTGGACTACAACCATGGGACAACACCAAGGAAGAGCAGGGGCTGCTCTTCTACTCTGAACTCACACGAATGCTCTGAACATGGAGAGCAGACACATGTGAGTGCGCTTTCTATTTTATTTTTTTAATTAACACCAGCTACACGGCACATCCGAGCGTGAGCTGATGGTGGGCAAAGGGTGAAGAGACGGTCGGTCCAAGCGATGAACTTACGTTATCGCAGCGAAGCCAGATCTCATTCATTCCCTCCGCCACGGGAATCAGAAGTTTGATGTTAAACTTCTGTCCAGAGATGTTCACATCAGGGGTAACTTCACATCCTGCAATGAGGGAGCCAGTGTTTAACAGGGCTGGGAAGAAGTATGCTTTAAAAAGGGCGAGAAAAAAAAACAAAGAAAGAAAGGAAAAGAAAAAGCAAAGCACTCCAAGTAAATGGTGTCCAACAGCCTATGGAGACAGGCTGAGGGAGTTGGGGTTGTTCAGCCTGGAGAAGGAGAAGGCTCTGGAGAGACCTTCCAGCAGCCTTCCAGTACCCAAAGGGGCTACAAGAAAGCTGGAGAGGGGCTTTGGGCAAGGGCGTGTAGCGACAGGACAAGGGGCGATGGCTTTAAACTGAAAGAGGGAAGATTTAGATGAGATCTAAGAAAGAAATTCTTCACCATGAGGGTGGTGAGGCACTGGAACACGGTGCCCAGAGAAGTTGTGGCTGCCCCATCCCTGGAGGTGTTCAAGGCCAGGTTGGATGAGACTTTGAGCAATCTGGTGTAGTGGAGGGTGTCCCTGCCCATGGCAGCGGGGTTGGAACTAGAAGATCTTGAATGTCCCTTCCAGCCCAAACCAGTCTAGGATTCTAGGATTCTATCATCTCAGTGCTGCAAAGATCTTACAGCACATCTCCAATGGGATAAACACTCTACATATCAGAGACAAAAACCGTGTCAGATGTCTCTTTTTCCAAGGGACAGGAAAAAAGAGGGGAAAAAGTAAGACCTGATGTGAAAGCAATGCAGCCAAAGGTAATGCGTGCCTGCAGGATTCATCACATAGGTCCTGCCTGGCCTCACAAATGGACCTGATGGCTGGCCAATACTCCGTGACCCCAAAATTTTCATGAAAGGGTGGGAAAAGGTGGCTGGACGGGTGCTGACTCTCACCCTGAAGCCCCTATACATTATTTTGGACGGGTGCACAGCTGCCATAGACAGCGGCGAGGTGTGAGCATCCCACTTGCAGCGGCTGGAGAGAACTACAAGCAGTTGTATAAACACCGGGGAGTGATGAACCGAACCAGCCGAGTTAGCCCGGGCGCCGCTTCAACGCCGCCTCCGAGATTTTTCAAAAGTGCCGTCACAGCAGATATGTCAAAAGCTCCCAACAAGGTCCTGCGGGCTGGGCTTCGCTGCGAAGGCAGCCCGAGCTCGCTCGGCATCACATCTGCTCCTGCTTCCACGGGAAAAAAAAATCAAGCTCTCTGCAGTTTGGAGG